AAAAAAAAAAAAAAAACTGGCTTGCTGCGTGTGAAAAGCAACTCCTAATTTCGAGAATTCACAATAGCGTGTTCTGTTCACCCCTTGTGTTATACAAAATATGTGCGTTACTACTCTGTGTTTTAAAAACTGCACCAGACCCCCTTATGTTTAAGTATGTGTTGCACGCTTCCCCCATACCGTCCAATATAACGGCGCGTGAAAGACACTTTCTCCAGATGCGAATATTATTCAATTTTTTTATTTTACAGAATTAATAATTTACATTTATGCCCTCTTGAATGTTGCAAAATCTAAAATGTATAAATGTAGGTACCAAGATTCGAACCTGGGTGGGAGGAAAAGGCACACCCACTCAACCACTGGGCTACATGAATGAACGTAAAATTCATTGAACATAAATATATTTATACATCATACGTAAATGAATTAAATATTTTAGAATAAATAAAATAAAATAACACTATAATAGGCCAATTAGCTATAAATTAAATAATTAATACTAATAATAACTTCTAAAAAATTAAATTAACATAAAATAATAAAAAAAATAAATTAAAATAAAGTAAGACAAAATATAATATAATAGCGTGAAATTAAAAATTTAATAAATTTACATTTTAGTTATCAAAATAAATTAAATAAATAAATTTTAAATGAAAATCTAATACAAAAATTGAATTAAAAAATAAACAAAATTAAAATAAACTAATTAAAGTAACATAAAAATAATAATTATAAAATAAATAAATTAAAACAATGATAAAGCAAAATAAATAATAAATAAAGTAACCTATTATGAAATAATAAATTAAGTAAATATAAGTATTAAATTCATATAAGAAAATAAAAAATATTATTCATCAAATAATTATATTATGGTTTTCTCTTACATACAATATGAATAAAAAATTTGAAAATAAATTATAATTTTTTAGTAAATATTTCTAATGTAAATAAATAATTTTAATTTCTAAAACATATTTATTAAAAAAATTAATTTTATTATAAAATAATTCGAAAATTAATACATTAAATACTATTATAATATAATTATAATTTTTTATATTTATTTATAGTTTTAGGTTGATTATATTCTGTTTGTTTAATAATAACTAATATAAATTAAAATAAATAATAAAATATAAGAATATATAAAAATAATATAAAATAAATACATTAAATATTATTATAATATAATTATATTTTTTTATATTTATTTATAATTTTATTTTAATTATTTTCTGTTTGTTATAATATAATTATAATTTTATAAATACATTAAATACATTATAATTTTCTGTTTATAAATACATTAAATACATTAAATATTATTATAATTTATATTATCTTATAAATTTAATTTCATTTATCCATATGTAATGTGATATATATTAAACTTTACTACAACTAGCACTCAACCTTGAGTGGTGTGGTTGTTACACAACTTGCATTGCTTCCAAGAGGTCTTAGGTTCGAATCTCAAAGACAGAATTTTTTTAATTTAATTTCTCGTGATATATTGAATATATCGCGATAAATTCAATTTATCATAAATATATATATATATATTTAATATTCAGAGGATATAACGGGGCTTTGGATAAAAAAACTAACGCCGTTAATGGGGAAATTTAAAAACGGGAGGGTATGCAACACGTACATAAACATAAGGGGGTCTGGTGCAGTTTTTAAAACATAGGGTAGTAACGCGCACATTTCGTATAACACAGGGGGGTTTGGTGCAATTTACCCCAGTGGAATTTGACAAAATGTGTAGAGGAAATCATATTACATAAAGCATGACAAAGAAGGTTCCCCAGTGGCGTATACCATATCTCGAGTTCGAGTCACTAAGAAGAGAATTAGGGAACTAGTATTAATCCTCCTGTGTGTGTGGGTAAAATAAAAAAAGCATTGTTATACCGCGATTTGAAAAAAAAAAATATTTACACAATAACATAATAAATAAGGAAATATTACGGTACGAAAACTACTCCGTCAGGAATTTTAACCATTGGATATACATGTAGTTAGTATCAAATAGATGATCTAACGATTAAAATACCGGACCAGATGATTCCGTGACGAGACATGACATTTCCCAATAAATAATAAAGTAAAGAAACGAACGTAAAAACTAAAGTCATCTATTGTAAGCTGCTAATTTTGCATTTTCAGCTAGACTATCTCGTCTCCCCTTCGTTCTCCCTTTTTCCCCAATTAAAAAAAAAAAGTAGAAACTCTCTAATTGACGGCGAGCCTCCCTTCTCGCGGCGGGCCTCTTCCCCCTTCGACAGGGCCGAAGTCTGGGTTCGACCAGTACTTACTGTTCGTGGCTTGGCGGGTTGCCGTTCTTTTTCCCCGACGTGGATCTCTCCCTTAGAGTAGCTACTATATAGTAGAGGGCGAGCAACGACTTGCGAGCGGCTTGTGGCGGGGTTGTCGGTGTTCCCGAGGTCCGATTTCTACCTCTCTGACCCCTTTCAACTTTGGTGTTGGGTGCTTGGGGGCGGCTTCTCAGTGGGTTGCAATCGTTGACTGGGCTGGGTGTTAAATATCAACACCTCCTTACAAGGAAGCTTCTAGGTGGATTACAGAAATAGGAAGATGCATAGATATTTTAGATACTTCAATATTAAATTAATTAAACAATGTTAAGAGTAATGTGATGGTTCTAGAGTTGTGAAGAAATTCTTATGTCGGTGAGTCCACCGACTTTGTTGTAGTATAAATATACAATAAGGTTGTAATTAGGTGTGTGTCCAATGAGTGAATGTGAGTGAGTGTTATTGAGTGTGAGTGCGTGAGAATTATAGTGAGTGAGTGGGAGTGTGTATTATAAAATAATTAGTGTGTGTTTTGGTCTTGATAAGTAAAATATTTATTTTGGTCTATATTGTGTTTGTGTAATTACTTTGTTAATATAATAAAGTAATTACATTAGTGTCCACGTGTTGTGAGTGTACCCAACTCAACACTGGGGGTGGGTATGGTGCGATCTTGCTGCTTCCGATCCGACGGTGACTCCCTGAGTAAGGTTTTGTAAGAATCAAGGGAAAATGGCCAGTCCCACGCAAGTGAAACGCATTATAAGAGGGTGAGTATGTGTGTACTATAGTGAAGTTTCATCCCAAAATAAATTAGGAGTAACTCACTAGGCTTATAATGTAGCCCCATTTTCCCTATAGTATCAATGTGAGACAACTTACAAGTGATATTCCAACAAGTTTCATCTTTGGTCCAGTTCTAGATAGTCGTTAGAGAAGTTTTTAAACCTTGTGTTGGGTAGAGATTGGATCCCGTTGGGTGATTGTTTTTAAATTAAGACAGTTGCTGATATGTCTTGTCTGTTTTGCTTATTTTCTCTCCATGTGTGTTATTAATATTTTCTACTAGTGAGAGTTTAGTTTTCTACTATTGGGAGTTTGGTAGTGTCTCGTCGACCTTTAAACTTGGCCTCCCACTAGATTCGGCTTAATAGTTGTTTTAGTCAGTTGCTGGTTGGTTTCTAAATATATAAATGTGTTTTTTCTATAAAAGTTCATATCATTTAAAAAAAAAATATTCAGACAATTTTACACATACTCGAATACTAGTTATTATTTAAAGTCAAAATTTTCATTTATTTTGTCTTGTTTTTCAATAAAATAGCCCGATACATATTAAAATCCAGAAATTATTGTATTGTGGCAAGTAATCCCCAAACAAATTTTATATAAATCTTTTGACCAATCTAAATATTCAATTAAATTAATTTATATATTATTGAACTCAGATTTACCAATATTATAATATCTAATTATTAGTTCAAGAAAAGGCGTAACCGTGTAGGCACATCCTCCTTTACCACCGACCTCAGAACTTCCTCCACATGGTCTCGTCTCGTTCAATGCAATGCCATTCTATATTTTATTTTAACTAGTACAGAGCCCGTGCGATGCACGGGGTGCACAATTTTAATGTCATTTATCCAATCTTATAATTATACAAATGAATAAAAAAAATGTACGGGATATATATAGTACATGATCTGTAATAGACCAAAATGTGAATAAGGGTGATGCACGGGGTGCACAATTTTAAGTTCATTTATTAGTACAGAGCCCGTGTGGTGCACGGGGTGCACAATGTTTTAGTATGTGTAACAAAAATACATACCGTATGCACGGGACAGAAACACTAAATGAGTCATTTCCACAGAGTTTGCCCGTTAAATAGCTCCTGAACACATGTGCACAATTTGTAGTACGTACCATAAAATCAGAACAGATTTTCATACAATTATATAATAAATAAAGTTTTTTTTTTTTATTTTAGTAAATATTTTACGTACTTTGTTTTTTTAACTTATCGAATGTTATGAGATTTTTTTGTTAAACCGATTTATGGAATATAATACAAATACAATTAGAGGATTGAACAAAATCAGAACAAATTTTCATACAATTAGATAATAAAAATGAATTAGATAAGAAAAAAAAAGAATTAGATAAAGAATTTTGAATCTGGTTTTTTTTAGTATAGATAGACCTTACGTACAAATTTTGACTTCACTGATTTTATGGGATTTGTTTTGACAAAATCGATGTTAATATGGAATAAGACAATAAATAAAGTCTTTTTATTTTAGTAAAGATTTTACGTCTTTTTTTTTAACTTGTCAGATGTTATGTGATTTTTTTTCTTAAACTGATTTTATGGGATATAAGACAAATAAATAAAATAATTAAATAAAATTTTGGATAGAAATAACAATGCATTAATTACGTTGACTCTTCAATCTACTAAATTTGATAAATAGGATACCTTATATAATAAGTATAGATATACAAATAAATAACATGCCAAAATTTTAAAGAATAATTAATGTATTTTAATTTATTATCTAGTCATCAGTAAAATCATTTAATGATGTGTCATTATCTCTTAAATGATAAATAAAATATTAATTTAAAAAAATATTTGTTTTTTATATACTCAAATAAAAATTAAAAAATACTATCGACAAATATGAATTATAATATATAGCAGTAAAATCATTGCAGAAGTTAATAAAATTATTTAAGGAAAAGATCTTTTTGATCATATATGAATAGGAAATGTATATATCAAGCAATTAATGCATATAATAAAAAAATTCCAAATAAAGTATGCATTAAATGTGGGTTGACTTTTTTTGCTACTATTTTTGGTAAATAGGTTGGCTTTTAATATAAGTATAGATTTAATTTTAATTTTAATGTATCTTTTACCTTTTTATAAATATTATATTATTATATAATAAAAGTCTAACTCCAATCTTCGGGCACATGACCTGTGCTACACATATACGTGTCCGCTGATTTATATTGACTCGTGGACTACTTGTATGTAGCATGTAATATTATTTTATATTATACAAATAAATAAATATTAGTGCATAGTCATGCGATGCACAAGATACATATATTGAATGAGTCATATCTATAGGGTTTATACTTTTAGGCGCAAAAAATAATAGAGTTGAATCATCAATTTTCCACTTCTATTGTGTTTATTTCAACCATAACATTACGTGTTAAATAATATATTATTCGGCTAATACGTTATACTAATATATATTTGAATTTAAAATATATATTAATATATCGATATAAGAAACAAAAATTATATTTATTCTTGTTCACCGTATAATAATCAATTATTATTTTATTATAATGTTTGTTGTCATATAATGTCATTATTATTATTTGTAAAAATTATAACAGTAGTCTTCTTCTTATTAGTTATGTACGGATTATTTGATAAACAAGCGTGCCTTAACCTAAGGATGTGTTTGCATATAAAAAAAATCCACTTCCTTTTCAATTCATACTGGAAAGTTATTCAAATATTCTCAATATTGTCAATATAATTAAATATTATCAATCAATCATTCTTACACATCACATCAATTTTAATTTACTATTCATCCGCTCACATAATTTTAACTAACCATCACTTCGACGAAGAGGGGTTAGCGCAGTGGCGCATACCTTCGCTCGGCGTGTATCATGTCCCGAGTTCGAGTCACCCGGGGGGGAATTGGGGAACCAGTATTGATCCCCCTTCTTTTAAAGAAAAAAAAAAAAACTAACCATCACTTCACACCATATCTCGCCTCTGTTTAGTCTTTTATGGTTATAGGGACAGTTTCAGTGACCTAAAAGCCAATAAACTTCAACTTTAGTCATTTTATTTTAAATATTATTTTAATATAAAATCAAAATTTCACTAACTAACTCTGAAAATTTGAAATTATATTAATATAAAAAATCAAAATAAAATTTCATATAAATTTAGTTAATTAGTTGTATTTGTGATGTTTAAAAAAGATAAAATTAATTTTTTTTTTTTTTAAAAAAAAAAGGTGTAAAAAACGTTTGTTGTCGTTAAAATGAGTTCGAAAAAGTGGCGACTCTTTAAGAAAGAAAACTGAATCCATGTGGTCCAATAGGTTTGGGCGGCGAGGCGTAGGGTCCACGAACACAGCCGTGGGTATGCCCCACATGCGAACCCATACCCCACCTCGTCTTTCCCGCCAAAATCAAGCCCTTTTCAAACTCGTAAGGCTATTGGACCGCCAAGGCTGAAACCCCCTCCTCCGCGCAACACGTGTCCACCCACCTGTCCACATCCCTCGCCACACATTCCCTTGCACCTTCCAGATCTCCCCTACTTATATTAATTAATTAATTATTAATTAAAATATAATATAATATCCTCGCACTTTTTCCTTTATTTAACATCACACTCCTTCAATTTTTTTTCACCATTACATAGTTGACCTCAGCTACCACACAGTATACGCATGGAGATCGTGAATGCGTTTGAGCCCTACGGCGATCTGGCGGCGGCGACGGCGGAGGAGGAGGGATGCCGGACGCCGGAGCACGGGATACCGGAGAGGTCGGCGCCACCTCCGCCGCCTAGAAAGAGGCCGATCCGCGGCGGGAAGAAGGAGCCCCCGGAGAATGAGTACTTCCGACCTCCCGAACTGGAGGAGCTGTTTGCGGCGCTGACGCGGACAGAAGCTTGTGCCTAATTACAAGCTTTTTTTTTTTATTTTTTTTTGTAAAGTGGAAATTAGATAATAATAGTAATGCATGGGATGCGCCGCCGATGTTTTGTTTTGATGTGGCGCGCTTGTTGTTGTCCTGTTCTGTCTGTATACTTTTGGATTGTGAATTTCTGCAAAAGTGTTCGAAAAAATTAAGATAATATTCTTTCAGTTGATTTAAGCACCTTTTTTTTTTCCAAAGAAAAAAGTCGGTGGGAGTTTCGAGTGTGATCCGACGGTGGAAATCACGGCCATCGAAACACTTGTCGTGCTGGTAAGGTAAGAAAAAAATAAAAATAAAAATTGGTTTATTATATTTATTTTACTATTCTATTAATCAAATTTAGAAAATTATTTTTTAAGGAAAATGAAAAATTAATTATAGGCTAAATATATGGATAAAAAAATTAAGGGAGTGATTGTTTATAAATTGAACAGTAAAAAAATTAATTAAAATTTAAATTTACTATCTTCAATATTATCAATATAATTAAATAATATTAATTAATTATTATTACAGATCACATCAATTTTAAATTACTATTCATCTACTCACATAAGTCTAACTAATTATCACTTCCAATCATTTTTCTCTACTTTACAAATTAACTTTAATTATTTTATTTAAATATTATTTTAATATATCCACTAACAACTAACCATACCACCTTTTTTCAAAATTAACTATAGTTAAAAAAACAACCAAATAAAAACCAATTCAATCCATAAACAATCACACCCTAAGTTTGGAAGAATCCCTTTCTATATATTAATTCCAAACGTGTTAGTGAGCTTAGGTGACAAATTCTTACGCTTCGGATGCTGATATAACGAAAATCTATGTTTTTAGCTTTTATTGGAGATGAGAAGACTCGATCAATATATCACTTTTAGGTACCTGGAATGAGCTTATATAGGACCCATTTTTTTGTTGGAAATTAGTAGGACTCAATCGGTCACTCTTAAATGGGCTCATATAAAATGTGCGGGCACACCTAGGTCGTGGTTGATACGGTTTTTTTATTTTGGCTCGGTTTTGATTATCATTTGCTCGCTGCTGTGATGTTTTTTCAATTGTAGTGCATGAAGGGTCGCGTGCTTAACCCGGTTTTTTGGTTTCGATTGGGTTTTGATCATCCTATGCTCGTTGCTGTGACCTTTTTTCAGTTGTAGACTTGTAGTACATGAAGGGTTGCACGTGCTTAACCCGGTTTTTTTGGTTTCGATTCAATATTGATCGCCCTATTTTGGCTCGGTTTTGATCATCCTTTGCTCGCTGCTGCGACCTTTTTTCAGTTGTAGTGCATGAAGGGTCGCACGTGCTTAACCCGGTTTTTTGGTTTCGAACAATTTTGATCATCCTATTTTGGTTCGGTTTTGATCACATTTGCTCGCTGCTACGACCTTTTTTCAGTTGTAGTGTGCATGAAGGGTCGCACGCGCTCTCCCATGTCCGATAGGTGTCTTTTGGCTTTCGAATGCGTTTTGTTTGCTCTGGGCACGCACGTTTTTGGAAGGGCTTTCGAATGCGTTTTGTTTGCTCTGGGCACGTACGTTTTGGAAGGTGTGCACTTGCAATTTAAGAGCACTTGCATTATATTTTAAAAGTTTAGTTTTAGCTATTATTTTTAATTATTCATATGTGTACGACGTACTTATAGATAATGGTAAACAAAATTGTATTTCACAAAGATGGTGTTAAAATAATTAATTACATATTATTTATACTACTAGTACATGGTCATTTACGAATTTGGATCGTGATGTAATTATAAACTAACAAATTAATAAACTACATTCAAATTAATAACTAGAACGATTAAGGGTCCGGGTGGGCTTTAGCGGCTTGACTGTCCTCTGCCGGGGGCAAGTATATGGTTGCATCATGATAAGATGGGAGTGTCTCATCCTCAGTCAGTTCTAGTTATAGGCTCGGTGTAGCCTTCTTTCTCGTAACAAAAATAAAAAATAAAAAAAAAAATAACTAGAAGAGTGTTCAAGAACTAGTGATTAAACAAGATATAACTAAAAGAGTAGAGTTTATGTTAAGCTTTTCTCATAATTAATCCATAAAAAAATTATATTTTCTTGAGAAAGTTACATCATAGATATATTTATTTAGTATAACATAATCTAAAATGGTACTTGATATGTTTATTCCTTTTGGGATTAAACATTAGTGCTAAAAAAATAAAACTATTACTAAACAACTATTGCGAAAATCAAGTATAATATTAAAATCATGAAATAGCCGATTATTTGTCGAATTATCATATAAGTTATTAGCTTATAAGAATTCAAAATATTTATAATATATACTTTTACAAAGTATGATAAACCAATTAGTCATTTATCGAACCACCATGTAAATTATAAGTTAAGAAAGGAAAATCAAAATATTTATAATATATACAATTACAAATTATTATGACAAACTAATTGATCATCTGCCAAACTATGCATGCAAATTATTAACTTAAAAAAAAAAATGTAATCGAAATGTTATATACATAATATGTAGGCGCATTGTTGTGAAAGAAAGTCTTTTAAGGAAGCTAATACTTTGTCGATTTGTCTTATCGAGCACCTTTGCACAGATCAGGCTATATTCTTGTGGATCAAACGATCTTTGTTAATAATGGGGGCAACTTGTGGTCTCGTCTGACCTTGATGGTTGATCTCGACCTGAGGATTGGGGTTACTCTTTGGGATGTGGCTAGCCTGGCCCCTGGATTTTTTGTTCCAACCTAGTTTGGCAATCTAGACACCGGATGCTCATGATCGTGAACAAAGTGGAGACTGTCCGACTAAAAAAATTGATCACTGGGTTGAAGTTTGCCAGATCTAAGAACAAGATCTGACATGAAGTCATATTGAATATTCTTCTCAGAGTCATCCTTAGGCCCCCGATTGTTTTGAATCTGTTGTTACACTAAGACCGATGTCTCCCACCTCTCGACGTTCTTGTCGAGGTTGAGCTAATTGATCTATATTCTTGTCGAAGGTGGGTTAACATAGAAGCCGACGATGGGTCTTGGATCTGGATGAATTCATGGTGAGAGGAGGCAAAAGGTGAAAATTAAACGTTTTTCGAGGGTTTTTATTTGGGTAGAGTTACATGATGAAAAGCATCGATAGGAGGGTCGGTCGGTCGTGCTACGTATCCTTTCTTTTGACTGGAATAGGTGAACCAAATGCACCATCTAGAGAGGCTGTATGTGATGTTTTGGCTTGAAACTAATTTTGTTAGGGAATCACTATTTATAGAGAGGAGTTCAAAGGTAACCCTTGATGACCGCCTTCCTCTAGCGTCATTTTCTCGACGTTCGTGCGACAACCACAATCAATGAGGTGGTTTATTAAGAAGGTTATGGAGATTAAAACGGTACAGAATGATGATTGTTTATAAAGAAATTAGTAAGGTTAATGGCAAGCGCATATAGACAAGAATATGAAATTGAAATATCATGTAGGAGATCGACAATAGTAGTATTATGTATATTTGTTGAGCAGTTGAGTTGTTGCATTTTTCATAGTCTAATGCTCTAGCTTTGAGAAAATGTGACTCGGATCGACTAACGGATTAGTCGGGCATAGCTCCGGATACTGTGGCTGGCTACAAAAAAAAATATTTTTATTTTGA